TCACTTCATTCCTCCCATTAATAGAACCGAGAGAGGAAAGGCTTTTTCCTTAATCCAAAAACAAGCATGAGTCTACCTATAGCAAAGCTCATTCACATGCCCGAATATCAATGTACCACACAACCTGAGTTCACATCAGTGCATTTGGTAAGTATAGTCCCTGCTAAACATTCTGCTCTTTTCCATCTTTAAAAATATACAATAGTTGAAATTTAAAATGGCCATTTCATTATTCTCCCTACAAGTGTCTATTGAGCACTACTTTTTTCCAGGCATGTTATAGGTGAAGAGAACATGGTGGTGAAAAACTTGATCAAGGTCTTATCATATCATAGAGATGCCATTTTAGAGATGGTTATAGACATTGAGCAAGTAAACAAATAAATTAATTTCATAATACAAGCAAAATAATTTCAAGATGCAACAAATGCTATGAAAGAAATAAGATAGAATAATGTAATGGAGTGACTGGGAAAAGGAGGATATGTGAATTTGGAGTTCAGGAAAGTCATATCTAAGCAAGAGATATCTGAGACTATGCAAAGGTCTGTGAACAGAGCAATCCAGACAGCAGGACAGCAAGCACAAAGATGCTAAAATGGGAAGAAGCTCAGTCTGGATGGAGACAAATACAGACGCTGGAAGGAATAAAATTACCAACACATCTTTGTTACAAGTGATGAGAAGTTACAAGTGTTACAACTGAGAGGAAATGATAGCTGTGAAATCCGGATAACCCATCCTGCCATTTAAGTTGATAAATCAGAATTTCTAGTTGTCTCAATGCAGAAATGTCCAAGCTAATATCACCATTTTCCATGACCCGCTTCTCCACTGGAAATAAGATTTATCTTGCCACCCCAAGTGATACCATTTCTGGAGGGGCAGGGAATTTAGGAAGCAATGTGAGAGTCATGCCAAATTTAATAGTCAAAATGACACATTTTCACAATATGTATTTTCTCATTTTAGGCAATATATGAATCCCAGGAAAGCCCGTTATTGTTGTGGATAATAAGCATTGTAGAACAGCTATGGCTTTTTGGAATTTGGTACTGCCAAGTTGTGAATTTTTCCTTTCAGTGGCATTTAGCAGATCTCATCCATAACTAGGCACGGATGGCACTCTTCTTTACTTTCTGCTCCTTTTATGCCAGAGAGTTCTTTTCTTTCTTTTTTTTGAGATGGAGTTTCGCTCTTGTTACCCAGGCTGGAGTGCAATGGTGCGATCTCGGCTCACTGCAACCTCCGCCTCCTGGGTTCAGGCAATTCTCCTGTTTCAGCCTCCTGAGTAGCTGGGACTACAGGCACGCGCCACCATGCCCAGCTAATTTTTTGTATTTTTAGTAGAGACGGGGTTTCACCATGTTGACCAGGATGGTCTCGATCTCTTGACCTCGTGATCCACCCGCCTCAGCCTCCCAAAGTGCTGGGATTACAGGCTTGAGCCACCACGTCTGGCCACCAGAGAGTTATTTTCTAAGTACAAATTCAAATTAGAAACTCACCAGAATTTATTTGCTTCCAGAAGAGTTCATGTCTTTAATTTTAAAATATTAAAATTAAAATTAGAGGAAAATCTCAAAGGAAAAAGAACAAAAGTTAAAATAAGAAATACTAAGGCTCTTAAATATGATTTAAAACTGACTTAAAGATATACTTAAGACACTGAAAAAATGCTTTCTTGAAAGACATTTTAGGGTACTAAAATCTTTCAGTGAAATTAATTGGTGTTACTCAATCTATTATATATATATGTATTTTGAGATGTAGTCTCACTCTGTTACCCAGGCTAGAGAGCAGTAGCCCGATCTTGGCTCACTGCAGCTCTGCCTCCTGTGTTCAAGTGATTTTCCTGCCTTAGCCTCCCAAGTAGCTAGGATTGCAGGAGTACACCACCATGCCTGGCTAATTTTTTTTTATTTTTTTTATTTTTTTTATTTTTAGTAGAGACAGAGAGTTTTGCCAAGTTGGCCAGGCTGGTCTCGATCTCCTGATCTCAGGTGAACCAGTCACCTTGGCCTGCCAAAGTGCTGGGATTAGAGGTGTGAGGCACTGCGCCCAGTCCTATTATATAAATCTGAAGTAAATGTTTATCTACAGACAACCTTATAAATACAGTATAATAGAAAAGAGGACGCACTCATGGGCTCTGGAGGTAGCCCGGAATGAATTCAAATTCTGGTTCTTCTTGGATTTTCTGAGCCTCAGTTATACTTTTTCTTGTAAAGTGTAGATTCTAACCTAACCTCTAGGTCAGCTGTGAGATCTGAATTAGATAGTTATTTTAAAGAACCTAACAGACGGAAATCATTCAATAAACTGTGACTTTTTCCCACCTATACTGACACCCCCTAGCGTGGATACAGTGTGAAATAATTCTCCTTAACACTAATAATAAATTGTATAGCACTTCTGATACTTGTTAATAATTAAGCAATTCTCTATAAAAAATTATTTCTGAACTTTTGCATTACCTTTCTTAAAAAGTAGATTTTTCATTAGCCTAGTTGCTCATGAATCAATTTCAAGTACATATAAATTATCAGAAAAATCAAAAAGCCTTCAACATGTGCTGACACATTTGACGGCCTTAGAAAATAAACTTTTAGTTTAGAAGAGAAGAGGCTGAGTAGATTGAACTTTTTCTTGGTAGGCAAAAGTAGCTCAAAGATCATTCCCAGAAAAGTATACTGGGAGGAGGCTGTTGGTGAAAGTGAAGTGAATACAAAGTTAAACATCTTGGATTTAGCATAGACATTCAGCTGAGAGAAGGAAAGTTTGTAAGCAGAAAAAGAAGGATAAAAGTAAATGGTATAAAGGGTGTTTGCACTTATAAAGCCTCATTAAACTTTATATCCTTTATATAATTTTCTGCCTGAGGCAGTACACTAACCCACCCTGGGTACATAATAAAATAAATGGTGATAATAGTTAGGCACCAGATTTACTCTACACCTAAACCTTTAAATGAATTACCGTTCCATATGAATGTTAAAATATTCATGTGATGAATCATCACATAATCATGTAATGAAAGGGGGTTGCTGTTTATCAAATTTGTTGATTAACAGAGTAGTTCAATTTAAAGTTACTTTTTATAAAGCATACAATATTAGGAGGCAAATTATCTGGCAAAGGGTAGCCTGCTCCTGTCACTCTATATGCTTCTGGAGTGAAGTAAGCCCAAGGATGAAGCCTGACTCAGTCATCTTGAGCCAGACCAAGCCACATCACCTAATCAAATCCTCCAGAAAATAGAATCAATTAGAGGTCAGTGGACAATTGTTGACAGTGGAAGGTGAAGAAAATATATTAGCTTTGGAATTAGACAGATCTAGGTTTAAACCCTAGGCTTATGGGATATAAGCAGCCACATGCAAGCTTTGTAACCCTGAGGAGGTGTCTCCACCACAGTAAGCCTCAATTTTTTTTAATGTAAAACACTTTTATTTTTTTCCCAGAAACAGGGCATCACTATGTTGCCAAGGCTGGTTTGGAATTCCTGGGCTCAAGAGATCCTTCTGCATCAGCCTAAAACACAGATTTTAATACCCAATTTTGTTATAATAAGAATTAAATAAGTTAATACACGTAAAGTTTTTAGCACGGCAGTTGATTCCTATGGGCCTTAAACAAACAGTACTTCGAAAAAAAGAGTTCCCTTTAAACAACATTTTCTTATGCCTACTAAAGCCATAGAATGGGAGCTTGGGCCTCTTCCCACTCTGTGGATGTTCACGACCACAACCCACTCTGCGTATGAGGCAATGCACCATCATTAACTGCAAAGGAGCAAACAGTGTGTCTCCAGTCAGCCTTAGTGAAAATTGCTCCCGATCCCTCTCTTTTTTCAGGGGTTGCAGCAGCTCAGACAAATCCTCCAGTGTGAAAGGAGGAATGACTATTATGGCATGAAAAAAGCATCACTATCAAAGCTTACGTTTCTGCTTATCTTTTCTTTGAGCATGTTTAGAGCCTTGAACATGTAGAACTGGCCAGAGTCTGGCACATCCTAATCAGTTTTCTTTGCCTTCCTGAAAAGTCCTGTGTACCTTCTCATCACTCAGTGGGCATCAGTTCTCATCTTGGTCCAGGCTTAACTTGCACTTAAGAGTATTGTGAGCATAGAAGGAGATTTAGTGTGGCATTTGGTGGAGGTATAGTGAAGAAGGCAACTGGATTAGGAGGCTGAAGTCTTGGGTTCTTGCTAGTTATGGCAAAGTACCTCAACATATCTCATAATTCTTATTACATAGGATTTGTGTGCATGTGTGATGCTGAAATAAAATAATAAAGAAGGAGTTTATAAATTGTATAGAACTATTACAAAAGAAGGCTTTTATTCTAGTAGACCTATTTGATATATAAAAGAATTAAGCTATATTTAACTTTAACATTAATAAAATCTTCTCCATTTGTGAATTTCAATATTGCTCCAAAATGGACTGTATTCTTACCCTGTATATCTATAGACTGTACCATTATAAATAATATTATTAAATGATTAGTAATTTTATCTGATTTTAAATTAACATTATGATACTAGTTCAGATCAGTCTGGAAACACACAAATTATTCTCTTAATAAATTGCTTTCGCTTGTATTTCTTAAATACCTAACAAGAGTAGAACTGGAAATTTTAAATGTACAAAGTATTTTTTCATTTAGGAAATCTAAAGAATTACATATTATAACATTAAGCCATATCTTCTATTAACATGAGCAAAACAGGACTTGGCTTTATAAAATCTAGGATTTTATAATTCTCTTTTACAGTATAAGAAAATAAAGCAATTGTAACTAACATGGCCCTTGTAGAATTTTTTACAACACCTTTTTCTTAGATATGTGTACTTCCTGATAAGCAGAGATGATGAAATAATGGGCTATGAAGGGTAAATAAGTTTCCATAAAAATGCCCAAGCAGGGATATAAGTAAAGCATCTCCTGCACGCACATTTGCAGTTAGTGATTCCAGGTATTATTTCTGTTTTCAGAAAGAAAACTCAGTAGAAGATAATGGCAAGTACAGACTGGGGATATGATGGCAAAAATGGTAAGAGTTCTTCTGTTTATATGATATAATATAAATATTGTATCAAATTAAATGATAGCTTATTCTTATTTCCAACAGAAGATATATTAAGCATTTAAAATAACTGTACAGCCATAGTTTAATTGTTTGAAGTACCTGCTTTAAATAATTATAATATCTTTGGATGTATTCTTAGCTTGTCTTTTGGGGCATCGCTGTTGCATATCTCAGAGATACTGCAGGTTCAGCTTCAGATTCCTATCATAAAGCAAATACTACAGGAAAGCAAGTCACATAAAATTTGGAGTTTTCCAGGGCATTTAAAAGTTACGTTTATACTATGCTGTTGTCTATTAAGTGTGCAATAGCATTATCTCTAAAAAATCTACATACCTTAATTAAAATTACTTTATTGCTAAAATATGCTAGTGATCATTTGAGCCTTCAGCAAGTATTAATCTTTATGATGGTGGAGGATCTTGACTCAATGTGGATGACTGCTGATTGATTAAGGTGGTGGTTGCTGAAGTCATCCATGACTTTGGAATCAACTTCTTCCAAACTCCTGTTAATGTTGATAACTTGACCTTCTCCCATGAATTACGAACCTTTATGCAGAATGGTGAGTTATTTCCAGACAACTTCAATTTCCTTTACCCAGACCCATCATAAAGAATTATTACTTATGGGAACTATGGCCTTACAAAATAATGTATTAAGTAAGATTTGAAAGTTGAAATAACTCCTTGATCCATGGACTGAAGAATAGATGCTGTGTTAGAAGGCATGAACCTAACATTAATCTTTTTGTACATTTCCATCAGCGCTCCTGGGTGACCATGTGCATTGTCAATGAGCAGTAATATTTTGAAATAAATTTTTTTTTAAACTGAGGAGTAGAGCTCAACAGTGAGCTTCAAAATATTCAGTAAACCAGGCTGTAAACAGATGTGCTGTCATCCAGGCTTTGTTGTTCCTTTCATAGAGCACAGATAGAGTAGTGTAAGTATAATTCTTAAGGGTCCTAGGATTTTCAGGATGCTAAATGAGTTTTGGCTTCATATTAAAGTCAACAGTTGCACTTGACCCTAACAAAAGAGTCAGGCTGTTTTTTAAAACTTTGAAACCATGCATTGACTTCTCCTCTCTAGCTGTGAAAGTACTAGATGCTGTCTTTTTTTCCAATAGGAGGCTGTTTTGCCCACTCTGAAAATCTGTTGTTTAGTGTGGTCACCTTAATCAGTTGTCTTAGCTAGATCTTCAGTAGAACTGTCTGCAGCTTCTGCGTCAGCACTTGCCACTTCACCTTGCACTTTCATGTTATGGAGATGGCATCTTTCTTTAAATCTCATGAACCAACCTCGGCTAGCTTCCAGTTTTTCTTCTGTAGCTTCTTTGCCTCTCTCAGCCTTCACAGAATTAAAGAGAGCTACACCCTTGCTCTTACTAGGATTTGGCTTAAGGGAATGTGTTTGTTACTTTGATCTTCTATCCAGACGACTCAAACTTTCTCCATATCAGCTATATTGCTGCTCTGCTTTCTTATCATTTGTGTGTGCCCTGGTGTCGCACCTTTTATTTTATTCAAGAATTTTTATTTTGTATTCACAGCTTGGCTAACTGGCAAAAGAGTTCTAGTTTTTGGCTGGTCTCAACTTTTGACATGCCTTCCTCACTAAACTTAATCATTTCTAACTTTCGATTTAAAGTGCGAAACATGCGATTCTTAACTTTCACTGGAACACTTACAGATCATTGCAGGGTAATTAATCAGCCTAATTGTAATATTGTTGTCTCAGGGAATAGGGAGACTTATAGAGAGGGAGAAAGATGGGGAGCAGTCAGTCAGTAAAGTAGTTAAAACACACGCAACATTTACAGATGAAGTTCATCATCTTACATGGACATGGTTTATGGTACCACAACACTATCACAATAATAACATCAAAGGTCACCATGATAGATATATGAAGAATTTAAAAGTTTAAAATATTGAGAGAATTACCAAAATGTGACACAGAGATGTGAAGTAAACGCATGCTGTTGAAAATATGCCTCTAATAAGCTTGCTTGATGCGAGGTTGCTATAAATCTTCAGTTTGTAAAAATAATGCAGTATTTGCAAAGTACAATAAAGTGAAGGGCAATAAAATGACATATTCTTGTATTAGAAATCTATTTCTAATAGCAAAATAAGTATATCCTGATCCTGTAGATTATAAGTATATATCTATATTAGTGGTACTGACAAATACACTATTTTATAGTATAATATAGAAAAAAGAAAGGCCAGGTTCAGTGGGAGGCCAAGGTGTGTGGATCACTTGAGGTCAGGAATTCAAAACCAGCCTGGCTAACATGATGAAACCCCACCTCTACTAAAAATACAAGAAAATTGGCCAGGCATGATAGGATGTGCCTGTAATGCCAGCTACTCAGGAATTGAGGCATGAGAATTGCTTGAGCCGGGGAGGCAGACATTGCAGTGAGCCAAGAGTGCACCACTGCACCCCAGCCTGGGTGACACAGCAAGACTGTCAAAAAAAAAAAAGAGAGAGAGAAAAGAAAAGAAAAGGGACATTTTCAAAAGCAGAATTTCTATTAATCTTAACAGAATATCATTTAATACACTTAAATAAACCCCAATCTAATAAGCAAACAGGTGACTATACTCCTAAAACTTGGAATCAAGCATTTGATAAACTATTGATTTTATACATGTGTGTGTCCTGGTAGGTCCTGAACAATGGGGCAAGCTGTACCCCATTGCTAATGGAAATAACCAGTCCCCAATTGATATTAAAACCAGCGAAGCCAAACATGACTCTTCTCTGAAACCTCTTAGTGTCTCCTACAACCCAGCCACAGCCAAAGAAATTATCAATGTGGGACATTCCTTCCATGTAAATTTTGAAGACAACGATAACCAATCAGGTGAGCTGAAAGACCCTTCTGATATTCTTTTCCTTAAAGTCTACTGGGGAAAAATTTTTAAGTAGTGCTTAACAAACATGACACCCATCCTAAGTCTTTTGAGCTTGTTTGTACCATTGCTATAGTCTACTGAGGCATCTTGGACTTCTGAAAAATGCCCAGGTGATAAAGACAATTTTTGGAACTCCCAGCTCTGTATTTTCAGTCTTTCCTTTCAACGTCACCATCACATCTCTTCTTGCCATTCTAGTATCCGCATGGTTAGTTTACTCTCCCTGAATAAACAGTATTTATCCAGAAAGGTCCAGTAAAACAGTCATTATAAATATGACAAATATTTTTAATTGGGATGAGGATGAATGAGCACAGTAGAAAAGAGAAACAAATGCCGGCTGCGGTGGCTCATGCCTGTAATCCCAGCACTTTAGGAGGCCGAGGAGGATGGATTGCTTGAGGCAGGAGTTCAAGACCAGCCTGGTTAACATGGTGAAACCCCATCTCTACTAAAAACACACAAAAATTATCTGGGCATTGTGGTGTGTGCCTTTAATCACAGCTACTCAGGAGGCTGAGGTAGAAGAATTGCTTCAACCCAGGAGTTGTAAGTTGCAGTGAGCTGAGATCATGCCACTGAGCTCCAGCCTGGGCAACACAGCAAGGCTCCATCTCAAAAAAGAAAAAAGGGAAACAAAGCAGTGACTGGATTATCCTAATATTCCAGAATCTGGGACAAATTTTGCTACAGAATTAGCTTTTCATGAAGGTTTATTGAATACTTTATTAAATGACAACTCCATAAAACAGTTCTACTGATTTAAAATGCTAAACTTGTTTATGAGTTTCTGAGGCCTAAATTTCAGGCACTTGGGGCTATATCCATTATTAATATTAGATTAGGTCTGGTATTATGTGAATTTAACTAATATTATCACTAGATCGGTTCTCCAGACAAAGTTTTCAAAGTGGCCCACTGCTCTACTGCTACTCTCTCTTGGTCCCTGGCCAGGGATTCTCATCAAAGCTGTCAAGATACACTGTTGTTTGTGTCTTCATCAATAGAGTAGGTGAAGAATGGCTATTACTCAAAATAAACTACTAAAGATTTTTGATGCACACTGTCTTTGTTGAAAGAATGAAGGAATAAACTTGCAAATTAAAGGAGACCATAATGATATAATTCACCCGCCTTGCAATATGGCTTCTAGGAGTTAGAAATAGGTAAAATTGCAGCTTATGTGCTGGGAAATGTATATAAGTCATGGAATAGCTCATCAATGCCATAGTCAGGGGTGCACCATACATATGACTGTCATCCTCATGGATGCAGGAGGGGAACCAAGATGAAAGGTACTAATGTTCTAATGTTTGTTTTCACTTCTACTCAACACAGTTTCGTATTGGTTTCTCTTAAATGCAAAGATAAGCTAGAGCTTGTAGAGCATAAGGCTAACAATAGGTTCCCTTTATTTTTCCAGTGCTGAAAGGTGGTCCTCTCCCCGACAGCTATAGGCTCCACCAGTTCCATTTTCACTGGGGCAGTAAAAACGAGTATGGTTCAGAACACACAGTGGATGGAGTCAAATATTCTGGTGAGGTAATGTAATTTAGTAAGTGAGAGATAATTACCCTGAAAGGAAGGAAGAGTTGAAGAGAGGAAGGAAGGGAGGGAGAGAGGGAAATAGGAAGAAGAGGGATTAAGTAAGTGATATGGATAGAATTGTTTTGGTTTATGGTGGTTACTTTATATTGGATAATTAGAAAAGAATTATTTAAGGAGTGGCATTTGAGTTCAACCCTAATTCAAGACGAAAGTCTGCCATTGGGAGATCATGGTGAAGGAAATCCCAGAGAAAATTAAAAGCTAATGCAAAGGCTCAAAGTTGTGAACATATGGAGAGGTATAATCCATAAGATGTGAATGTTGATCAGTCAGGAAAGTAAGAAATGAATGACAATTATTGTACTTATTGATTGAGCAATTTAAAAAACCTTATCCTAAGAAGGTAAAATTAAGAAGGTTTGGCAAGAAGGAAATCTAGACTTCTATTTTGACCATATTAAGTCTGAGACATCCATGTAGAGATATCAAGAACACATATATGCATACTTGGATGTACAAATCCAGAGTTCACGGAGACATTAGACTGAAGATATTTGTTAGAGAGGTGTCTAGAAAGGACACTAATGTGCCTGAATCTATTCTTGGCCAAGACTGCCAGGTACTCCAGGAACCCTTTCTCATAAAGTTACTATAAAATACTTCATGTGAGAGAAAATTACTTCAATTTTTTCCCCCAAAATCTAGTTAGTCATATTTTCTGATCTTTTTATAACAAAGAGAGGTACTTTTAAAGGACATTAAATAAAAATATTGTAGGAAAAGAAATTTTGCTTACCAGTTTCAGGTTTTGCAGTCTCTGCTTGGCACACAGATAACCCTTCTAAGAGTGAGAACATAACTCTTCTAGCCCATTGGAGAAAGGTTCACCTAAGTTTTATCTCTCTAAGCCAAGATACATCATCACATGGTAACAGGTTAACTCATAATTTATCTTTTGTCTTCACACTGGTATAAATAATTAATTAACTATAATATCATTTTTAGCTTCACATAGTTCACTGGAATTCTGCAAAGTACTCCAGCATTGCTGAAGCTATCTCAAAGGCTGATGGTTTGGCAATTATTGGTGTTTTGTTGAAGGTGAGTTACAGATAGTTACACAGCTCTGTTTCCACTGTCTTATCAATCAGACCTCAAAACAGGAGGAATTGCCGGGCACGGTGGCTCAAGCCTGTAATCCCAGTACTTTGGGAGGCCGAGGCGGGTGGATCACAAGGTCAAGAGATCGAGACCATCCTGGTCAACATGGTGAAACCCCGTCTCTACTAAAAATACAAAAATTAGCTGGGCATGGTGGCATGTGCCTGTAATCCCAGCTACTCAGGAGGCTGAGGCAGGAGAATTGCCCGAACCCAGGAGGCGGAGGTTGCGGTGAGCCGAGATCGCACCATTGCACTCCAGCCTGGGTAACAAGAGCGAAACTCCTACTCAAAAAATAAAAATAAAAAATAAAAAAAACAGGAGGAATTAAGACAACATACATTTTAGAATTTCTTATTGGAAAGTTCCCATTCAATGACTACAGGTGAACAAATAGTGCCTAGAATTTTATTGCTTGGTTTTATCTCTGGCTTTCCCTCTTAAAGAGAGAAATGAGTTTCAGGTGGAAGTGAAACAGAAAGGTATTCACAGAGAAAAAGGAATTTCTATTTTCCAGCTCTTCCAAATTCCATTTCCTCAAAACGTCCTACCTTATAGATTCTGAAATTTATTGATTTAATATCTCACCAGTGAAGAAATATTATTAAATATTAATAAGAAAACCTGAAATCATAGATACAGAAATTTATCAATTTAATATCTCATTAGGAAAGAAATATTAAGAGATTTTTTTCTTGCAAAGAACGTTCCATTGATTTTTTTAAATGGCAAATGTTGCTCAAATTTTCTATAGAAGAATTTCTTAAAAGTTCTACAAAAAAGTTATTATTAAATTGGGTATGCCTGGGTAACTAAGTAACTCTTGAAATTATAGCATTTCTACTTAATCTTTACTGAGCATTTACAATATGCCAAATACTGTAGTAATGTTAACTAATTTAACAGATCAAAAGTAAGAGATTGTTTCTGTCTCGCAGTTTTGCTAAATTTCTACATTTTGCCCTGCATAACTTTGAACATATTGCTAATAATTAAGCTTAAATCAAGCTTTTTGTTTGCTACTTTATCTGTAGGTACATATTATAAACCATTTATAAAGTATGAAGGTCCTCAAAGATACACAGCTTGAAAAACTTCTCCTTCTAAAGCAGAGAGAAGATACCTCACCTCTCATCAGTGGTTAATCAAAAAAAACTAAAAACTCAGCTAAGCAGTGTTCCACTGATAATAATCTTTATCTCCCACTTTTTTTTTTTAAATCTCCAGGTTGGTGAAGCAAACCCAAAGCTTCAGAAAGTACTTGATGCCCTCCCTGCAATTAAAACCAAGGTGAATACACTAAATAAGTAGTTTAAATCACAGAACAGGAATTTCTAGATCTATGGAAATTATTTAATAAAGTATTGGAACTGGCAAGTAGGAAGGCCATAGCAAAAGCTACCAACTGAAAATTAAGGTGCTACTTCAATATTGTCTGCCTCTGAGAAAGTCTCGAATGCAGGGAACTGTTTGGGTTTTTTGTTTTTAATAGTTATGGTTTATTTATTTCAGCAGGATATGGTTTGCAGGAAAACGGATTACATAGCCATTTAAATTTGCTTGAAAAACTGTATCTAACTAAATTGTGATTTTCCATTTGATAAAGATATCTCTATTTTTTTGGCAGTATGAAAATTCAAAGTAAAGGATATTCTTTTGAGATACGATTGATATACAATCTTTCATAACCATAATTTCTATTTGTCAACTCAAAGAAATTGTTTGTTTTATATACACAACCTTAGCTTTACTGTTTTAATGGTAAGTAGTTAAGCCATAAATCAGAGATTTGTCGTTTTTTGCAATGTGGAGAACTGTCATATTTTTGTGTAAAATAAATCTGATTTATGCTGATTCTAGAAAAGATTAAACTTAAATGAGTGTCTTATAAGGTACGAATGGTAAAAAAAAAATAAGCCCTCAACTCAAGAGTTATCAAACATAATATATGAAAATAAAATAGAAGAAAATAATTAGTGAAGCTAAAAGCAGAAAAGAATAAAATAAGAAAGAAAAATGATGGCTGGGTGTGGTGGCTCATACCTGTAATCCCAACACTTTGGCAGGCCAAGGCAGGCGGATTGCTTGAGGTCAGGAGTTCAAGACCAGCCTGGCCAACATGGTGCAACCCTGTCTCTGCTAAAAATACAAAATATTAGCTGAGGATGGTGGCTCATGTCTGTAGTCCTAGCTACTCAGGAGGCTGAGGCAGGAGAGTCACTTGAACCCAGGAAGCAGAGGTTACAGTGAGCCGAAATCATGCCACTGCACTCCAGCCTGGGTGACAAGTTATACTCCATCTCAAATAAATAAGAGAAATAAGTAAAGGGTAAAATTTTTATCAATAAATTGAAAAGTTGATTCTTTGAAAGAACAATGAAAAAGGTAGATTTTGGGGAAGTTGGATAAAGATAAAAAAAGCCATACATTTAAAATAAATAGGTTGTAACTAAAGATATAGAAGAAAATTTTAAGAGACAAAATTCTTTTTATAACATTATACCAGTAAATTTGAAAATTTAGATAAAATAGATAATTTCCCAAGAAAATATGAAGTAAGGGAATTGACTCAGAATGAGTTAGAATACCAAAATAGACTGAGAACCTAAAAATAAATTTAAACAATACTCAAAATGTATCTATTAAAAGACAAGACTAGGCCCAGACCATTTCACAGAAAAGGGTTACTCAACTTTTAAGGAACAAACATGCCAGTGTTAACTAAACTGCCTAGATGAAGAAACAGATAGAAAACTTCTATCAATTTAATGGAATCTGATACCAAAACTGGATATGAAATCTATAAAAACAAACAAAACAAAAAAGTAGGATAATCTTTCTTAGGAATATAGCTAAAGAAAATCCTAAAATCTATTATAACAAATCAAATTCAACAGTGTATTAAAAGAGTAGTTTCTGAACTAGTAGAGTTTAATCCCCAAAATGCAAGAGTGATTCAATATTAGAAAATCTTAATGTAATGCAGTATATTAACAAAGTAAAGATGAAGAAAACCTCATGATCAACTTGTTAGATGCTTAAAAACCATTTGATAAAAGTTAATGCCCTTTCTTTAGGAGAAAATAAAATGAAAGAAAACTGAAAACTTCTTGAATTTGATGAAGAATCTTAACCTAGAAACTTGTATCAACATTTAACTTCATAGTGAACACCTGAAGCATCTTCATTTCAATCAGGGGCAAGACCAAGGTGCTGCTGTGACCATCACAATTGAAAATTATAATAGGGGTCCTAAACAGTGCAACAAAATAATGAAAGAGTACATATTATGATAGGTATTCAAAAAGCAAAAAGGAAACTATAATTATGTGCTGATATTATCATTAACATCTACCTGAAAACTTCAAAAGAATCATCTAAAATATAGAATGCATAAAAGATTGGCATACAAATATCAGTACATTTCCTATACACATATAAATATCAGTACATTTCCTATACACCAGTACTAATCAGAAAAAATGATGTAAATAAATAGAATAAAACTAAAACATGACCAATATGTATGTCAATAAAGATCTTTGCCACTAAAATAGAATCTGGCATCATTCCCAGAGAAAAAAATAAAAGCTTTATACTAGAAATCAAATATCGTTTAAAGATACAGATTGTAAAATACTTTTTTGAAACTTGGCTTATCTGCAACCAAATGAAGAAGAATGTCATGATCAAAAACTTACATGTAGCACATTTTTCATCTTTTTTCTTCTGTTGATATTACTGTTTGTATCCACAAACACATCAGTCATGAAATACTAAATAGTACAAAAGTCAATGACTCTTAACTAAAATCTCTAAATAATGTATAACAAGATAATATAGTATGTGTGTGAGTGTGTATGTGTGTCACATATATTCATATAAGCATTTTATATGATGCTGTAATTATGTATACTTTTCTTCCAGGGCAAACGAGCCCCATTCACAAATTTTGACCCGTCTACTCTTCTTCCTTCATCCCTGGATTTCTGGACCTACTTTGGCTCTCTAACACATCCTCCTCTTTATGAGAGTGTAACCTGGATCATCTGTAAGGAGAGCATCAGTGTCAGCTCAGAGCAGGTAGAGTTTCAAAGGCGAATGAATGGGAACTGGTTATGAGTGGCAGGAATACTACTTTAATTGATAATATCAGTGAGAGAGATTATTATTTCAACTAGCTTTGTGAGTTCATTTTTCCTCCCAACTTAAAAATCTTAATTTTGAAGCATAGGCCTACTAAACTATCCAAAAAATGAATTATAATACTTTTTTCGCCTTTATGAGAAAAAAAAATGAGATTCAGAACTCTCACTATTCTTTCCTCCTTAATAAGGAAAAGTCCAACCTTCTTAAATATCTTCTTAAGCATTTCACAAATAAAGGAAAAACTGTGACTAGACATTTCAATAAGACTTTGAGGAATTGTGGCTCTCAGTTGGCATACCTTGATAGTTGGCAAAATATTTGTGTTATTTTTGTGGAGCTTAAACTTTTAAATATTCAACAAAATATCTCATTAACTGTTGTTTATGTGGTGATTACAGTAAGTATCATTGATTGGTCAATACGTTTATTAGGTGCCTTACATATGTTTTGTTAGCTAAATTTCATAACAAACTTACAGGACAAGCATAGTAGCCTGTTGCTAACTGACATTTATTGAGCACATGCTATATGTCAAGCACCATTCTAAGGGCTTTGTGTGTATTAACCCAACTAATCTTCACAACAACACAATGCAGTAAGTAATATACAGAAACTAAGGTACCAAGCTAATAAGTAACTCACCCAACATAGTTGGTACAAAAGTTGATACTTTAACCCAGTCATTAACAATTTAAACAAAATGATTGGTTCAAAGGAATGAATGTAAAGGATTTGGGTCTTTCTGTCTTCCTATTAGTGATATAATAACAATTTCTAACTCAGTTTTCTAAATATCAGAGAATTAGTATACTCTAAAGAAAATACTTCATCTAACTTTAAAACTTTTGATTTTTAAAATATTTTATCCTTCCAGCTGGCACAATTCCGCAGTCTTCTATCAAATGTTGAAGGAGATAACCCTGTCCCCATTCAGCACAACAACCGCCCAACCCAACCTGTGAAGGGCAGAACAGTGACAGCCTCATTTTGATGAGTCAGAGAAAAAACTTGTCCTTCCTCAAGAACACAGCCCTGCTTCTAACATAATCCAGGAAAATAATAATTTTTGAAGAAATAAATATATTTCCATATTAGCAAGACAGCATGCCTTCAAATCAATCTATAAAACTAAAAAACTTAAATTTTAGTTCCTACTGCTTAATTCAAATAATAATCAGTAAGCAAGAAAATAGTAATCTGTGAGGATAAGCTTGTGCTTAAATTTAAGTTTAGTTTGTGGAATTCTTTAAAATTACAACTAAGTGATTTGTATGTCTATTTTTTTTCAGTTGATTTGAACCAATAAAATAATTTTATCTCTTTCTTCCTATTGTGCATTCAGTTTCTAAAACCATTAAGTTTCTACTCCATTTACATTTTAAAATCTTAAATATTTCACTTGCAAGAATATTTTCCTCAAATGTAACAACCTAAGGGCAGCTGGAGATGAAATATTAAGAAATTCATTTCCTTATTCCTAAAGACAAAATATAGCTGAGATGACTGGATTTAATATCGTTAAGCTGTCCCAACATTGCTACCATTTGTGTCATCTGTGAGCCAAATGATTATCTTTTATACAGGAAGATGATGCTTCTGGATATTGCTTTCACTTCTTCTTCCCACATTAGCAAGGACAATGCTTCTCTGCCATTATTACAAATAGTTAGTTTGTGTGGAGAATCTTTAGTTTAAAATTGGAAAAGAAGTCACAAGTGAATGGTTTCTAAAAATACTAAAGAAGGCTGGGTGTGGTGGCTTATGCCTGTAATCCCAGCACTTTGGGAGGCTGAGACAGGCAGATCAGGAGGTCAGGAGTTTGAGACCAGCCTGGCCAATATGGTGAAACCCCATCTCTAAGAAAAATACAAAAATTAGCAGCGTGTGGTGGCACACACCTGTAGTCTCAGCTACTTGGGAGGCGGAGGCAGAAGAATCTCTTGAACCCAGGAGGCAGATGTTTCAGTGAAATCGCACCACCGCACTCCAGCCTGAGCAACAGAGGGAGACTCTGCCTCAAAAAAAAAAAAAGCTAAAGAAGTAATTTGTGCTTAGAATCATATAGAAACATAATGCAATCCTTGAGTCAGATGTGCACTTCACCTAATGCTAGTTATTTTTATCTTTAATTTACACACAGTAATTGTACATATTTATGGAGTACAGTGTGGTGTTTTTTGTTTGTTTGTTTGTTTTTTGAGACAAGGTCTCACTCTGCCACCCAGGGTGGAATGTGAGGGTGCAATCATAGCTTACTGCAGCCTCAAACCCCTGGGCTCAAGGGATCCTCCTACCTTAGCCTCTTGGGTAGCTGGGACTGCAGATGCATGTCACCATGCAAGCCTAGTATTTTAATTTTTTTGTGGCGATGTGGTCTCTCTATCTTGCCCAGGCTAGCAGTGTGATATTTTGATTCATGTACACAACATGTAATGATCAAATCTGGGTAATTAGCATATCCATTACCTTAAATATTTATCATTTCTTTGTGTTGAGAATATTCAAAATCATCTCCTCTAGCTGTTTTAAAATATACAATAAATTATCGTTAATTATAGTCACCCTATTATGCTGTAGAACACTAGAACTTATACCTTCCATTTTTGCTAAAGCCATGACTACATCTGGAATTCTACAAATCCTGTGTCCAGTGTTTAATCTTGTGATTTAATTGAGTTATCTCCTTTGAGGTAGTAGAGATCAAAGTCCAATTGTTCATTCCTGTAAGTTTTAGCAAAATTCCTCAAAAAACATTAAGCAGATTCTTCACTGGTCTAAGGAAGGCTTTCTGCAAAGGCTGTGTCTGTTTTATACCGAAATCCCATACTAAGAGACTTCTTTTGAATAACTTGACTTGGGGCTTAGAAATTAGGTGAATCCTCTTCATTAAAATGTTATTTGCTTTTATTTTTTATCAAAATTGATTTGTTTTATAAATAAAAATAAAAATTCTAAATTTTCCCCAAATTTTGAAGTTTCCAATTCAAAAATTTATTTATTAAGACACAGTCTCTCTCTGCTGCCAGGCTGCAGTGCAGTGGCATGATCTCGGCTCACTGCGACCTCCAACTACCTGGTTTGACTGATTCTCCTGCCTCAGTCTCCTGAGTAGCTGGGATTACAGGCAAATGCCACATGCTTGGCAAATTTTTATATTTTTAGTAGAGACAGGGTTTCACCATGTTGGTCAAGATGGTGTCAATCTCCTGACCTTGCGATCCGTCCGCCTTGACCTCCCAAAGTGCTGGGATTACAGGCGTGAGCCACTGTGCCTGGCCAGAATTTACTGATTTTAAAAGATAAATACAAATACAATGGAGTCAAGTAATACATCAGCTCTACACCCATATACAACCTCTAAATATAAAATATCTTCCTTGCAAAAGAATCCGGCTGTGGATTTGCCAAATATTGAGAAAGCCTCTAACACTTATACCTGTGTTAGGATCCTATTACTCCACATGAGTCATATTGATAGAATTTAAATTACGAAGTTATCAAAGGTTCTCAAAAGGTAATACCCCTTAAAGTAGGGTATTACCTTTTCTCCCTACTGTAAGAAGTATTACCTTTTGAGAATCTTTTGAGAACCATTATGCTTTCTTTTCTTTTTCAAAAGAAAGAGAGAGATGAGCTTAAGTTGTGAAATACATTTGCAAAAGATGTTCTTTTAAAAATGTTTTCTGAAAATAAATTAAGCAATTTAGAAGTAAGTTTCACAGGAAGGATCTGAAAAACGCTTCACCTGATGGTCCATATATTTTTTAAGAAGGTTAAAATGGATGCTAGCATCTAGATATAAATCTCTAAGTCCTATTATGGAAACGGCAAAGATGTGACAAAAATCACATGATGGCCATCAAACATTATCCCTAAGGCAAATGCCAACTGAGAAGCATGTTTCCCCTTACTACCTCTGCCAGAATGTCATATATTTGGCAGAACTCATGAGATACATTATGAATTTCTCTGAAGTAGCCGATAGAAACAGCTGTTGTGGGAAGGTATGTGGACTAGGCATTAGATCATCTGAGAGTGTAACTCATATGTGTTGCTGACTCACCCTCTTCTTGTATGGCCTCATCTTTTGTCAACTTAGGTAAAGGATTTAAACATACCGCAAGGATTCTCTGGTTTTTCCATGATGTTTGGCAGCTGACCTTCTTTAGGCCACATCTATTGGGCTTCTAAGCATCTAGTATAAGCCAGCTGGTGAGGCCCAGCATCGGCTCAAGGACAGATAGTGCTTCTACTCCATGCTGTTTTCTGTCTTTTCACCTGCCCTTCAGAAAAACCCTGCTGTACACTTGTCACTACGGCACCCTTCTGCTGATTCGTGAGTCCACGTAGATCCAAATATTTTCTACATTGTTCATTTCTGTAAGGTTTAGCACAGTGACTCAAAATATATTGAATTCATCATAATAGGAATTAGGGCAAAGTAAAAAAAGAAATATCTTCATTAAATTTAATTTCCTTATGTGACTCAAAAGAGCAGATATCTACTTATTATAACTCTAGAATCTCCCTTCTCTATTTTGTGGTGCAGATTCCTACCAATATGTGATTAAAGCTATGAAACTTCTCTCCCTTACCAAAAATTTTTTACATAATCAGATACAGCCAAAATTTTGCATTGAGTCTTAGAATGTTTAGGAACTCAGCCTTTTCCTTCCCTCCCCATCACAAAGTCATTCCTGGACCTCAGGAAAAGATACCTGCTCTAAACTATTAGAAAACTTAAAAATGGACTCCAAGTCTCTCTTGGTCTTGCATCCTAATGTAATATTTATTTTTGCTTTTCTATCTCATCCTTTATAATATGTACCTAGAAAAGGAATGATGGTATATTTCTCGTATCATTCATGAATTATCAGTTTTTTCTTTCTCCTCTAAAAATATTACTTTGGGTTGATATAATGTTTCATTGTAGAATAGATATAAAAAAGATTAAAAAAAGAGAAAACCTAAACCTTAGTGAATTGTTAATTAGTGAGTAATAAATAAAAGATTATAAATGAAAATAAAAGGGGATAGAAGAGAAAATTTAAGTGAGGAAGGTATCATCAGGTAAATAAAGGGCGAAAATCATTTTAAAAGCCATCAACATTCTCTGTATCCAAGACCATGAAAGCATTATCTTCATGGTTACCTATAAACTCCAAATGTTTATTTACCCACTGATTTTCATGAGACACTGCACAGATTTTCTTATTACTCTTAATAGATTTGCCAATTTTCAATCTCAGTAGATACACAAAGAGATAGACAGACAGACATAGCTACTGTATAAATGAGTAAATAATTATGTTTACTCCAGACTGCTCTAATTCGGCAAAATAAAACTATGGATTTAGGTATTTAATCAATTACCAAATGATAGCTGATTTTATGTTCCTAGACTTAAAACTAAGGAGAAAATGAATAAAATAAAAAAATTTTTAGTAGAAATAGAACATGCTTGAAAGAAATACGGAGAAGTTATCACACGATTCTTGTATAAAATCTTGCTTTCAATAAATAAGTAACTCATAAGGAGTAAACTTAGAGTCTTAAAAATATGTGCACACTCTCACCTTGTACCAAAACAGTGAACTGGTGAACAAAGGGCTTGTGTTTGAAGACTTTAGAAGGCTCAGATCACAAGTGCACTTACTAGAGTTTGCTCACAGGGGCATCTTGGATGCTAATCCCCTAACTATGAGAAGATAGATATAGCAGTTATGTCAGAGAGGAACAGACTTTAAGTGGCTTCATTTTTTTCTCTCAAAAACTAGAGTATATGTTTCCCTAGTCATTAATATTTTAATTCAATTTACAAATAGAAGCATGTTATGCTATTTAGGTAGGTTACCTTCTATTAAGTTATTAGATGACCTACATTGCCAGCAGGAGCAAATATCCATAACAGAATCATACTGTGATAGAATAACATTTAGCTACTTAAAAAAAATAGTTAGAACCAGATCTCACCCATATATCAGTATATATCCAAGATGGGTTAAGTTTTTCAATGAAATCATTAATTTGCTAGGAAATACATAAATACTTAAATAAAATCTAGTAGGAGAACTTCATTCAAAAACACCAAAGGGAAACCCAGGAAATAGCAGAATAATTTACTGAACTGTGAAAAATTAAATATGTAGGTCAAAGGAGCAATAAAAAAATTAATGAAAAGAAAAATGACAACTAGGAATAATGTTTCAGTATAAATGGCACCCACAGGAACAATGTCCTTGCTATATAAAAAGCTTTCACAAGTTTTAACATAAAAATTGAATTTCCAAAAGAAAATGTCAAGAAGACCTAAAGAGGCAATT